CTGCAGGATAAAAACTGATATTGCAATAGAATGGAAAATAATAATAATAAACAAACCATCCTGTCTTGAGCTTTAATGCAGTAAACATACTGATGGTGCATATTCGATACGTACCTGGGAACCTTTTGCAAGCCCTGGTTTCTCATTTATGCCTGTTAATTTACATCATACCTGAATTTATATCTTTTCTATGTTCCATAGACAAATTAACAATCTTCACTTAATTTAACATCAGCTTGAAAGCAAATGAAAACATAAAAAATTTTATTGTAAAGAAATTCAGGCGTCGAGGGGTTAAAGAAAATTATTAAAATAAAGAGCAGCTACACACCAGCCCCCCCGAGTGCTTTACAAAAGTTTCTTTTTGCAACCAAATCCACGGTTCAGATGGTTTTCTCCTGTTCTCCGCTTATTTTCAAGTTGTTGTCGACAACCAAAGGGGGCGGGGCCTGCTTTGGCCGTTTGATGAACTGATCAATATTGTGACTGGTGGTTCGCTGTGCGTGCAGAGTCTGCTCGTCACTCACTAGCAGCACACTCGGTGTGTCCAAGAACCCTTAAATCGGAGTGAAAGATGCTCCATCAGACTCCTCTGGTTGATGAGTCGTGGAAAACGAGGACCGAGCAAGTTTTCCTTTTGTGTCAAGCAGCAAAAAAGTTGAGGTGCTTAACCTGACTTGCTTGACATTGTGGGATGTGAAACGATGTATTGTTCCAACAGTCTGTGTCCAGGCTGAGTCCTGCCCTGGCTTTTGTGCTTTCCTGTGGAGCTCTTCCAGAGAGGGAAGAGGGCAGCGACCTTTCTGACCCCCGGGAGCGCTTTCCTCTGCGCCTCTGTGCAGCTGGAGAATAAAACACGGTAAAGTAGAATCTATGATAACATCAGAATCAAACTATAACATGGGATCCATTGTGTAGATATGTGCATGTGCCAAAAAGAGTGCTTGTCAGTATAAGAGTCAGCAGAGATGTTCTGTGTTGTGAAGTCTGACGGCACGAATCTGCGTCTGAGTCCGTGACGGCTTCCTGTAAAAGCACATTTCCTCTCCGCTCACGGCGGCGCCGGGACGGACGAAGACGTGAGGGAGAGACACAGCTGCAGGAAAGGGAGCTGGGATGTACCGCCTGTCCTTCACTGCTTCTCCTCTTCCTCTCTGGGCTCTGCCGCTCGCCGCCCCCTGCTGGCCAGACTCAGACTCTGCTGTGACTCCATGGCTTCAGTCTGAAACTGGGATCCTCCCTGAATCAGATCACATCAACATGTTCATACAACAATAAAGGAAGCCGAAGCAGGTGATTTCAGACCTTTATCCCCAGGTTCCAGATGAAACAGAGCACAGACTCATTCAGTTATTTAGTATGAAACCTGTGATCGGAAGCTAAGATGTGCATTAGTGCAATAACTGCTGCTCAGGTATTGATTTAGATACCACCTGTTTGAAATATTCATCATCACTTTACGGCCATTAGAGCCCTCACTGCATTACTGCCCCCCCCCTCCATTAACAAAGTGTTTTAAATCTCAGATGTGACGCTGCGGCAGGAAAACCAAGGTCAGCGTGTGCAGAAGATGTCTTATTCTGCTGCTGTCTTTCTTTTGGGCTAAATCTTCACCACCAGCCAGTGATCTGTCTCATTAATGTGGACACAATCTGAAAAACAACAAACAAAACGATGTAAAACATTCAGTACAGTCTGACACATTGCGCCACAGAGTCAGGAGGATGGCCATGGTCCACGCCGCGTCTTCTGAAAGGTTAATGTGTCTCTGCTGCGTCCTCGGCCTGAGTTTGAAGCTGTGTTATTGACAGTGATATTAAAATGCGTGACACCTGCTTCTGGTTACGATCTTCCTCCTTCATTAACCCCTGAACCTGGTCTCCTGCAGTCTGGGACTTTATTACACCCATTTAATTAAATTGAGCTCTCGACCTTTAACAGCGTTTTAGTGTCGTTTTATTCTAACAGCTTTATATGGCCGTCAGAGCCCCGGGGTGTGTCAGAGCGTTTCATGTTTCATTCATTGTTTTTCTGGAAGTGTTGGTTAAATCAGCTTCCTGTCGCACAAACATGACGGTGCTGCACTTCTTCTGATCCTGGAGGCCATGATGACGAAGCGGGCTCGGACTACAAGTAGGGTTGGGTATCATTAAAATTTTATATTGATTCTGACACTGATTCTACTTATTGAATCCGGTTCTTATTGATCCTCATTATCTTAATCCTTCAGCACAGATCTCCTTCCTCCTCTTCCTCCTTCCTCCTCTTCTCCTGCATGTCTCTAAAGTGAAAGGAGTCTCTGTCCTAGAGGGGGCGTCTCTGGGACTCGTCTCATCTGTAGCCATCGTCGGTTTCCCTTCAGTATAAAAGGTGAACGTCGGCTCACCTGTGTTTTGTACCTGAGGCGTCGCTGCTGTTAGCGTTAGCTGGATCTGGGAGAGCGCGACACGTTGAACACGGTGAAGCGTTCCTTCAGATTCACGCCGTGTTGAAGGAAACGCTTCGTCACGTCGGAGCTGCTTCCTCTCTCGCACCGAACCTCCTGACTGCAGCTGCTGCAGTTTGTTAGTGAAGCTGAGTCAAACTTTGGAGCGTCTGCTGCGGTCCGCCACGGTCCAGGACCGGAACCAGAAGGACTCTCTTCTTCACGCTTTGAGAAGAGGAGACGTTAGGTCAGCGTAGCGGCTGCTGGCAGATCAGAGACACTTTGACGGACGGTAAAATGCTCACTGCAGAAAGCCAGGAACCGAGGAGCAGGATCCAAACACACGGGCCTTAATGAGTCCACGGGTCTTGGAAATTTGGAACCGGTTCTCGATACCCAACCTAAGAGAAATGAGGACTGATGAGGGACCTCGACTTCTCACCTTGGTAACCCAGAAGACCTCAGAAGTGTTGCACGTTCCTGGAAAAGCTCGGCCTCCAGCTGCCGTGACTTCCTGCAGCTGATAGAGGCTCTAAAAGTCTTTGCTTTGTCCAGAAACAGAAGCGCTTTAGCTGAGGGGCCCCTACTACAACGCTGCAGATGCCCCAGCTGTTCATCCATCGACAGCAGAACACAGTACACACAACCATGGTCCCATTCCCAATCTCCTCCGCCTAAACCCTGAACCCTCACAGCTGACGTCACGTGGGAGGTGCTGAAGTGTGAGAGGCTGTGAGGGCCTGAAATAGTATGATGGGGCAGCACCGCGCTTTGCAACATATCATGTTACCTTTACTGAGGCAAAACAGCTGTGGGTTTGGACTTTCTATGTTACATCTGATCTGAACGTGTTCCAGGCTCCTTCAGAGTAAACTGATCATTTGTAATGAACACAAGTCATTATTAAATTATCAGTTCACTTGTTTTTTATCAAAACAGCATCACTCATTTACGTGTAAACTTCTATTTTCTTCTGATTGTTTACCTTTTTTATTGCAGTCTCCTGTTAATCCCGTGTTTAGCATCACAACGCTATGAACTGTGGGTAATTCACTCTGGCAAAGTCTGCAGAGATGCAGACTTGCAGAAAACCTGCCCTCACGCACCCGATGATTTGACAGTGGGACGGCCCTAAGCACTCAAGGACTCACCGGGAACCAGGGGTAATCGATACAGCATAGTATCGCGATATTTTCTGTGCCAATACTGTATCGATACACAGACGCCTAGTATCATAATAATAATAATAAATTTATTTATAGAGTGCTGTCATTTAAAGTGCTTTACAAAAACAATACAATTAAATACAAACAGTATAATAAAATTAAATAAATTAAAAAAGTAAATACCACTATACAAAGACACCAAAGATAAACGAACATTTAGGACTCATACACAGCAGTGAATAAGTAGGTCTTCAGCTTTGATTTAAAAACCTCATTTGAACATGCCAGTCTAATATCTGCTGGAAGACCGTTCCATAATGTTGGAGCAGAAAAAGAAAAAGGCTCGCTCACCAACCGTTTTCTTCCGTTTTTCTTCCTCTACCGTGTAGGCACATTAGAATTCAAAAGATCAGACAGATATAATGGTGCAAGGCCGTTCACTGTTTTGTACGTTAACAACAAAACCTTAAAATCTGCTCTAACCTGAACAGGGAGCCGGTGCAGTGAGTCCAGCACAGGAGTTTTATGTATGTATTTAGATGATCCAGTCAGAATACGTGCTGCAGCATTCTGGACCATCTGGAGACCTCGCAAACTTTTCATAGGCAGCCCAGAGAACAGAACATTACAATAGTCCAGCCTAGATGTAACAAAGGCATGAATAAGGGTCTCAGCATCTTTAAGTGCCAATATTGATCTAATCTTGCGATTCTTCAGAGATGAAAGAAAGGCTACTTTTGTCATATCTTTAATATTCAAATCAAACGAAAGTGATCAAACAAAAACGACCCAGAGACTCTTTACTCTATCCTTGCAATGAATGACCAAATCATCAATAGATAGAGCAAAATTATCATACAAATGACCTAATCTAGCTGGTCCAATAGCTATCATCTCAGTTTCTGCTGAGTTGAGTAGTAAGAAATTTGCTGATAACCAGCTCCTCACAGTCGCCAAGCAAGTGAATAACTTAACCGAATCAGATGCATTTCCTGCAATAACTGGCATATTTGTAAATCGTTAGCATAGCAATGAAAAGCAATCCCAAAAGAACAATCTTTTATTATATAAATTGTACATGAGAATTTTACTTTTTTGGTACAATAATCCATCCATCCATCGTCAACCGCTTATCCTGTGTACAGGGTCCCGGGAGCCAATCCCTGATGACATTAGGTGAAAGGCGGGGGACAGGTCACAAGTCCATCGCAGGGCCACACATAGACAAACAACCACTCACACCTAAGGACAATTTCGGAGACGCCAATTAACCTAGTCCGCATGTCTTTGGACGGTGGGAGGAAGCCGGAGCACCCGGAGAGAACCCACATGGATACAGAGAGAACATGCAAACTCCACACAGAAAGGCCGGGGCAACCGGGGTTTGAACCCACAACCTTGCTGTGAGGTGACAGTGCTAACCACTGCACCACCATGCCGCCCGTCTTGGTACAATAATAATAAAATCAATTGCTTTTTCAGTCCACTAGACAAAGAGACACAATGTAAAGTTGGAAAAAAGTAATAAATTCCAATACATCGCAATATTTTTAAAATCGTGATAACATCGTATTGTGATAATATTGTATTGTGACATAAGTATCGTGACATAAGTATTGTGACATAAATATTGTGATAACATCGTATCGTGATAATATTGTATCGTGACATAAGTATCGTGATAACATTGTATCGTGACATAAGTATCGTGATAACATTGTATCGTGACATAAGTATCGTGATAACATTGTATCGTGACATAAGTATCGTGTTAACATCGTATCGTGAGAACATCATATCGTGAGAAGATCCTATTGTGACATAAGTATTGTGAGAACATCGTATCGTGATAATATTGTATCGTGATAACATCGTATCGTGACATAAGTATCGTGATAACATTGTATTGTGACATAAGTATCGTGAGAACATCGTATTGTGAGAACATCATATCGTGAGAACATCCTATCGTGACATAAGTATTGTGATAACATCGTATTGTGATAATATGGTATCGTGACATAAGTTTCCTGATAACATCATATCGTGACATAAGTATCGTGATAACATCGTATCGTGACATAAGTATCATGACATAAGTATCGTGAGAAAAAGCAGTATCGTGAGAAAAAGACACAATGTAAAGTTGGAAAAAAGTAATAAATTCCAATACATCGCAATATTTTTAAAATCGTGATAACATCGTATTGTGATAATATTGTATTGTGACATAAGTATCGTGACATAAGTATCGTGACATAAGTATTGTGATAACATCGTATCGTGATAATATTGTATCGTGACTTAAGTATCGTGATAACATTGTATCGTGATAATATTGTATCGTGACATAAGTATCATGATAACATCGTATCGTGACATAAGTATCTTGATAACATCGTATCGTGAGAACATCATATCGTGAGAACATCATATCGTGACATAAGTATTGTGAGAACATCGTATCGTGATAATATTGTATCGTGATAACATCGTATCGTGACATAAGTATCGTGAGAACATCGTATCATGAGAACATCATATCGTGAGAATATCCTATCGTGACATAAGTATTGTGAGAACATTGTATTGTGATAATATTGTATTGTGACATAAGTATCGTGATAACATCGTATCGTGACAGAAGTATTGTGATAACATCGTATTGTGACATAAGTGTTGTGATAACATCGTATTGTGACATAAGTATTGTGTTAACATCGAATCGTGACATAAGTATTGTGATAACATCGTCGATAATAGTACATGATAATACCGTATAATGGGGACTCTGGTGATTCCCACCCCTACTGGGAACGTGTCTCAAAGTCGAAGAAAGTGAGTGTGGCGGTTGGGATTCAACCCATGTTGCCGTAGAAGGTGTCAGTCATGAAAAAGTTACAGTTGAAACATGGAATGTAACATCCTGCGCTGAAATATGTCTTATTCTGCGTTACATAAGTGTCGGGTTGCCATCTGAGTTAAACGAGGATCGACTTCACCGCAAATTTGAAGTTCTTTGTTTTACAATTAAGTCAGAGACCAAAATAATGTAACCTGTAGCAGCAACTTCCCAAACTGTTTTGTAATGTCATGAAAAATACCATTTACACAAAGAACGCTGAGAGAAAAACATCCACTGATTTTATGTGAAAGAACCAGATATTTTCTAACTCACTTCATCCGGACAGGATGTAGCCAAGAGCAGATCAACACTTACAAACTATTAAGCCTTCAGTCTGACACCTAAAGTCCAGAAAGGAGAGTGTTTCTTTGCTGCTGTCTGCTCTGCAGTCTGTGTGGATCACAGTGTTGGTGTAACAGCAGCTGAGTCGCTTGTCGTCACATGGAGGCGTGAGCTTTTGGAGGCACGTGCAGCAGAAACTTAGAGACTGAGAGTCAGAAACCCAGAGACTACAGTGAGTCCTCTGATCCTGTCTGAGTGTATTTAAAGGTGACTGCTTCATTGATTAGTGTCCTGACTGGCTGGCTGATCGACTGACTGACCTGGGGACTTTCTAATCTCTGGACTGACTTGCCTGTGTGAGCTGGTTTTGTTTGTGTACAATGACCCGATACTGCAGCCTGTTTCGCCGTCTGCTGTCCACCGAGAGTAAAGGTGAGGAGGCAGACGAGGAGGAGGGCAGCACTCGCAGGGACAGCAGCCAGCAGGGTGAGTCCTCCCCCGACTCTCATCTGTACACACAAGTACTCATGACTGAAGTCCGGTTGGGTTTGTTTGTCAGCTGTCTGGTTGTGTTCATTATTGATCTCTGCGGGAGCCGTAAAGATGGAAAGTTATTAGTTCAACATTTAGAGAGAGAAAAAAAAGTGATGCAGGAAACAAAATCAGACATTCAGTATGCTCACAGGACGAGGACGGATAAAAGAACAGAAATATAACTGAGCAGAGTGAGGTACACAGACGCTGTCGGCTAAATCTGTGCGTGTCTCACCTGGTGCAACACAAATGTACCCACAGCGACATAAAGTTTGAGTATAATAGTATTATTCAGCAGCATGTAGGGATGAAAATACATATACTGTATATACAGATACACAGTACAGTAAATACACGTTCTTTACTGCACCAATAGTGTGAGAGTTTGCAGTGCAAAAAACATGCAAATACAGATATTTGCAAGTTTAAACTTGGTGTACAGAATATTGCTAACCCTCGCTCCTCCTCCTCACCTGTTGTGTCAGATGTCTGTAGTAGTTTATAAATATCAGTGTTAAAGTCTCTGATCAGCTCTCAGTGTCTCACACCTTCATCAGACCACTTCACAAATATCTCTTTATACACACACACACATAAACACATGTATATTTACATGTGGTGGCCTATAAAATATAAACAGATGACACTTGTCCTTCATTCAACCTGTCGACCTGCCTGACAACAAACACAGTACTGCAGTGGTGTATTATCAGTACAGCAGTGATGTAGTATCAGTACACAGTAGTGTGTTATTTGTACGCAGTGGTGTATTATCAGTACAGCAGTGATGTACTATCAGTACCCCAGTGGTGTATTATCAGTACCGCAGTCGTGTATTATCAGTACCGCAGTGGTTTATTATAAGTACAGCAGTGATGTACTATCAATACACTGTGGTGTGTTATCAGTACCCCAGTGATGTATTATCAGTACCCCAGTGGTGTACTATCAATACACAGTGGTGTGTTATTTGTACGCAGTGGTGTATTATCTGTACGCAGTGGTGTATTATCTGTACGCAGTGATGTATTATCAGTACCCCAGTGGTGTACTATCAATACACAGTGGTGTATTATCAGTACAGCAGTGGTGTACTATCAATACACAGTGGTGTATTATCAGTACAGCAGTGGTGTACTATCAATACACAGTAGTGTGTTATTTGTACGCAGTGGTGTATTATCAGTACTCCAGTGATGTATTATCAGTACCCCAGTGGTGTACTATCAATACACAGTGGTGTATTATCAGTACAGCAGTGGTGTACTATCAATACACAGTAGTGTGTTATTTGTACGCAGTGGTGTATTATCTGTACGCAGTGGTGTGTTATCAGTACCGCAGTGGTGTACTATCAATACACAGTGGTGTACTTTTAGTACCTTGCTACTTGTAATCATTGATGATTTGTCCACTAGAGGGCAGCAGATCTCTTCAACACGCCGACATCTTCGTCAGCCTCGTTAGCTGATGAAGAAAGAAATCATTTTAAACTTGTGTGGACACGCGAGTATTTTTAGGCAGCTGAGCGGCTGTAGGTGTCACATACATGTTCACATACTAGGACACACTGCTGTCCTGAGATCAGCCGTGTCTACTTTCAGAAAGGCTTCTTTGCTGTCTGAGGTGAGGGCGTTTCAGAGGAACTGCAAACACAAAGAGTTTTTTGAGCAGACGGTTGAATGTTCTAGTTTAAACTACCAGGTTTTTCCACAGAGCTTTGGTGTTGACGACTCAGGAAAACACTGAGAGAACAACATTTTTAGCCTCTTAAGCTGTGACAGAAACAGAACGCACAACTAAAATTACCTCCAGCGCGAGCGTGACCTGGACAGTGATGTCTCAGTTATATTTACTGAATTGTGTATTTTTATCCGACCAGCTGTGTTTCCCCTTTCAGCAGCTCGTATTACATCAGTCCAGACTTTACCTGAAGTTCGGACAGATTTTTTCACGTCATGTGACCCCACACTGTATAAAAGACAACACTTCTTCAAAATAAGAGATAATTAAATATGGATGGTGTCAACAAGAGCAGGACAACAACCTAATGTGTTCACAGCTACTTGATATCAGGTGAAATATGAGTAAACAGTTCTGTCCACGTTGGGACATCTTTCTGGTGTCTCCTAATTATTGATAATAAGTTAACCTTTAACCCAAACGCTGGTGCTCCGTGTGCTGTATGTGTTTTTATCTGAAGCTAAGGGGTTTTAATGTTCAAAATGTTCTGCTCCTGCTTTAGTGATTTGGCGGTTGAAATGACCGTGTAGTAACGCTGACGCTGCCCCGAGCCGAGATACAAATTTAAAACAATACAAATCTGAATTTGAAAGCAAAGGGCTCGCTGCAGCCCCCTGAGAACTAAACGGAGACAAGACCGAGGTCATAGGTTTGGACACCCTGAAGGGACTCTCGGCTCGGAGTCTTTTTGGACAGATAAACAGATTTCCTCCTGAAGATGTAGAGAGGGTGATTAACGCCTTCATAACTATATGTGGGCTTAGACCAGACATCCATTCAACGCCTGCAGCGAGTCCAAAATGCTGCTGCCGCCTCCTGACAGGAAAGAAACCGGCTTCCTGATTGATTTTGAGAATCTTACTGTTAACTTTTAAATCTCTTCATGGATTTCCCTTTCACACTCCAGCTAGAGTGCTGAGATCTGCCACTCCTGGATGTACCTGGAAGCAGGCTCAGAACCAGGGGGGGCCAACATGTAGAAGTGAAGTACTGTGTACTCTAATTGCTGTTTTTTCTTGTAAAGCACCTTGGTGAACTGTGCTATATAAATGAAGCTGATGTTGATATTGATCAGGGCTCGACATTAACGCCTGCCAAATTTCGGCCGTGGCGGGTAACACAGCCACTCCCACTAGCCACTTTGGCGAGTTGAAAAATTGTAGTCTTGTCAAAAGGCGTAAATAACAAACAAATTGCAATGTGACACTACAACTCCCATGAGTAGTGTTTGCTCATTGGTCCATTAGTGAAGCCTATTGTCTTGATGAACAACACTGTAAACAAGAAGAAACTGTGGAGGTTAAACTCGCGGGCTGTTTTGGCCTGCCGTTAATTATCAACTTAACCAGCGGCGGCCATGACAAAGCGAGCTTTATTAATATCACGAGAATCCACCCAACAGGCGCGTCTCACTCTCTCGCGAGGGTGCGCGCGTCAGATATGACATCCAGACTCTTGTAAAAGTTGAATGTGTCACAGGGCGGCCGCAGTCCCTCAGACCTGCAGACCGCCAGCCTCACGCCTGATGGCGTCACACGCGACAGGTCACACGCACACATCAACACGTGGTCGAGCAGCGTGGAGAAGAAATGCACAGGAGAGCGAAGCAAAGAGAAAAGCAGGCGGAAAGTGCCGTAAAATACAGATATATTCATGATTAAGGGACGTGCTGGTGTTTATAAAAGACCCTTCATATCAACATATCACAACTACCTTTCCAGAGTTGATTCTACGTTTTAATAAAAAGTTGTCATGCCATGTACGAAAGCAGAAGATAATCTGGAAAAGAAATAACCTGTATACTCAATTAATGTCTCCTCATGTTCCTCAGAGCTACTGCAGAGCTTCATGCTGATAAATCCAGTCAGAGCTCTGAGGAAGATGCAAAACAAATGAGATATACATAACATTTTAATCCTGCTGCCTTAATTGTGTGTGATTTATTTTCATCTTTGTTTCTAATGCAGATCATTTTTCTACTCTGTATTAGTATTTAGCCTGTTAATAATTAAATAAATAGGATGTAAACAATGGTTCTGGAGAATTTTGTTTTTAGTTTAGTTTTCGTCTTTTACACCCATGCAGCACTTTTCTGATATCTAATAAGAAGCTGCTCTTTACAACCTCATCAGAGCTAATGATAATATTAGGACATTGTAGCGCGCCACTGTCAACTTTGATCATATGAAATGTAATTTCCCAAAAACAAAAATGTGGCTAGTAACTTTGGAAAACCACTAGCCACATTGGCTGGTGAGCAAAAAAGTTAATGTCGAGCCCTGTTATTGATGGTCACCCCTTGTTCTGTGAGTTCAGGTTGCTCTGGTTGCAGATAGAACCTACCAAGCTGCAGGAAACTACAGATTTAACATCTTGTGAATGGGTTTTACTGCTGGCTGTGCAGCACATTGCTCCTCTGGGATAATATAGATTCATCTGACCTTCCCTCGTTAGCAGAACTGTGCTGATAAAGTCCTGCCCTCAGGCTAATTATCGTGCTAATTCCTGTCCCTGGTAGAGGATCTGGTCTGGAGGAGGGTCGGCTGATAGATGGACCTGATGCCGTCCCCGTCTCTCTGGCTCCCTCTGGTGGTCACAGCCAGCTGGTTCGTTTCAGTCTTATTCCTTATTGTTTCACCAGAAGTATTTGACAGTACGCTGTCATTGTTGTTGTTCTGACCCCAAGTTGGCCTTGGGGGGACGAGGAGGAACATGAAACTGGACGCAGAGGATGAGGAGTCAGTGTGTTCATCTTTTATTCGGAGCACAGTTACAACCCTAAAACTGAGTGACGAGAGCATTTAGAGAAGCTGCTGTTTCCCCGATTCATCAAACTTACAGCAGCAGAATCTCCTGAATTAGTGATTCAGCATCAAACATTTAACACACACACCCGCACACGCTGCTCGCCGGTCTGCAGACGATCTGCGTGTGTTCAGTCAGGACCATGAAGGCGGTCAGTCGTCATGTGATCAGAACGTGCACGTACAAGGAGTCTGACTGAACTATAACACAGCTGAACAGAGAGAGGAAGACAAAATGCAGACAAGCACGTACACATATTGTTTATCTAGCAGCAGCAGTACTAGTAGTATTAGCAGTAATATTTGCAGCAGTACACCTAATATTGGCAGTAATACTATAAGTAGTGTGATCAGTAGCAGCAGTCTCTAACTGCAGTAGTGTGGATGTCCAGCAGGGGGCGGTGT